ATTTGTTTCAAGACATTTGACATGTTTCCGTCCTGAAATCTCGTGTTGAACTAGCTAATTTTTTACGTACCTCATCCCAAACCTTCCGTTGCAAATTCCAAAACGTCATTTTAGAGCTAATAACAGCAGGCTAACGCAGTTATTAATGCAGTCTAACGCCGTTATTAGAGAGAGAGAGAGAGAGAGAGAGCAAAAGCAACCCTCTACATCATTCGCAAATGCGACTAAATCTTACTCTGGGTGACTAAATGTCTAACATTAGCCATTGGCTAATAAATTCTTAGATTTTACACGCCAGTATGTGTGTGATCCTTCGTCGAATCCACCGGCCGCGCTGTTCTCAAGTCCGCCGGCCGTTCCTCACTCTAGCCCGCTGGCCACCGCTCACTCTAGCCCGCAGTGTGCGACGCATTTTATGGAGGATTGTTTCCTAAACCTGCAGTTCTGCATAGCCTACAATGGGTCTGTGCTCAAAGGCTGTTCTATAAAGTGGGGCAGTTCCAACTTTGCAAGGACAGTCTGGCGCTTTGACTTACAGCCTTTAAGTACATTTTTTATATTTAAAGAATTTGCCACTGATGATTCAAACGTGAGTTTTATTGGTTTTATCTCGTCGTGCCGGGAGATGGCATCACAATATGGTAAGGGGCATAACATTTACGTCACACGCTTGAGGTATTCAGCCAATCACAACGCACTGGATAGCTGGCCAATCAGCGTACACCTCGCTTTTCAGAACGATGAGCTTTGTAAAAATCGACGCGTTTCAGAAAGGCGGGGCATAGAGGAGAAACATTAATGTACATCATGTGGAAAATAATGTGTTTTTTAACCTTAAATCGCATAAACACATTGCATTACACCAAATACACAACAATGTTCGTTTTAGCAACGTCGTATGACCCCTTTAAAGCTTTCTATAGATGTATTTATCATGTCTGTGAGCAGGGCCGGATTTACCTCTTTTCGTGACATAGGCAAAACAAATTTTTGGGCCCCCCTTCCCTATTAATATAATAAGCCTAATATTACCACCCAAGCAAACAAAAATATTTCTTAATCAGTGGAAACTGTTAGTGTTTTCTATCGCAATAAGCGCTTGCGTTCAGTCAATAAAAATCGAATGT